ATTCTTCTCGGGTCACCGGGTGTCAGAGTCCTTCACAACAACCTCTATTGTTTTAATACCCAAGATACCTGGCTCGAGCTCCTGGTCCGAATATAAACCTATCAGCCTTCGTATTGTGACTAATAAGCTCATCTCCAAGATCCTTAACGGTCGTCTTGCATCTCTTATCCATTCCCTTGTCTCTCCAAACTAGAGTGGTTTTATTAAGGATCGAGTCATCAGTGATAATATCCTCTTCGATCAAGAGATGATCCACGAAATCTCCCATGTGAACCAGATATGAGCCTCGAACCTTGTGCTGAAGCTATACATGGCAAAGGCATATAATAGGGTCGAGTGGCCATTTCTCAGGGAGGTCCTGTTTCGGATGGGCTTCCATGAACGTTGGAATAGTTTTTTAGAGGCGTGCATGGAGCACTTCACGTTCTCAGTTCTAGTTAATGGTAGCCACACTTACGTTTTCTTTTCCACCCGTGGCCTTTGGCAGAGAGATCCCTTATCACCCTTCTTTTTTGTCCTCGCGGCGGACTATCTGTCTCGTTGTCTTGACGGCTTCATCTGCGACTTTCTGAGGATGACCTATAGCGCGCATGGTTATGATTCCCCCATATCACAACTCTCTTATGTGGATGACATTATTATCTTCACTCGCGTAGATAATAATGGACTGGCCGAGTGCATGCGCCTCCTGGGCATTATAGCTCTGTCTCTGGTCAGTTGGTCAGTGTGCAAAAAGAGCACCTTCCCCCTTGACCATCACATTGCAAACCATTGGGACCGTTGGATCCACGAGCGCACTGGTTTAGCGCGTAGAAACATCCCCATCACCTATCTTGGTACCCCCTGTACAAAGGCCACTTCTCACATGAGCTCCTTACTAACATCAGGCAGAGGATGATTGACCGGATCTCCAGTTGGTATCACAGACACCTCTCTTTTGGGGTCGGCTTTCTCTGATCAAGAGCACTCTCAGGACCCTTCCACTTCATCTCCTTACGGTCCTTGACCCCACCACTCTGCTCTTAATGAGTTAGATCAGATCCAGGCTCGTTATTTCTGGGAACATGGGGAGGGCTCCCGGAAATGGAGACAGGTCCACTGGGTGAGGTGGGACACCGTTTGTCGCCCATTCTCTGAGGGGGTCTTGGAATCCGGCGCTTTTCGGATGTTGTCACTGCATTCTCTTATAAGATGCGGTGGCGCTTTAAGGAGGATAAGTCACTTTGGGTCCAAGATCTTCGTCGGAAGTACTTTCCTGGAGGAGCTACCCACCCTTGTAGGGTGAAGGCCACCACTCGCGATAGCAAATAGTGGAGGCACCTCACCATGGTTGGTAGATATGCTCAGAAGCACATATTCTGGACGCTGGTGAGGGGGACATTAGTTTTTGGTATGAGTGGTGGTTTGGTGAGGGCCTCCTTTCGAGCACTAGACATGTTACCACCTTCCATTTCTGCAGATGAAGGACCTGTGGATGGGATAGGGAGAGGTTTGAGAGGATTATGGGTTCTGGAGCGGGCTTTAGTGACCAGGTGATAGATGAGATCCAACAGATTCCCATCTCGAAGGACGGTTTGGACGGTATGAGGTGGAGACTTACATCTTCGGGTGAATTCTCTACGACCTCGGCTTGGGAAAAAGTACGGCTGGGTGACCGACCAAACCTTCTCGTTGGGGCTATTTGGACCGACCTAATAACACAATATTTATTTTTATAAATAATTTTTAATATTTATTGCTCATATCACAACCATATTAAAACTATATTCTTGTATTGTTACATCGTGCATCACACAAGTGTGTGCTAGTCTTAGAGGATAATATAGTTGTCAATTAAAATAAATAATGCTTAAAAATTACGAGTATAATAAGATATCTGAAGGGAAATATTTTAATAGTGTTTACCAAATTCATCCAAAGTCTCAATTTATGACTAATCACTTGTAGACTTGATAAGTTGGTAAATAGTAATATGCCACAAACTATTTGAGGTAATTTCCGGCCGGACATTCACACGCCCACATATTACACACGGCCACGGGCCTACCCAACCCGTGGTCTGGCCCGCAATCGGCCCAAAATTTGCAGGTTCGTTTAATCGGAATTCTGGCCATGCGAGTCAATTTTGGTCCTTAATTTTTTTTTCCCGGCGGTTCGAGCAGGACCGGGTCGGACCATAGATTAAAAGACGAGCGGCGTTGTATTTTTATGGGCCGGGTCGAGTTTGAATCGGTGGGTCGGTGACCCGACAGTTCAGAGCCAATTTCATAGGAATGGCAGGGCCGATTACAGGCTATCAAATTGAAGCCAGCCGACCTGGTGTGTCGCCAGTCGGCCCGGGTCGTCGCCCTTCATTTGGCCATCTCCACCGACATTTTAAGACTGAATACGGTGCACCAAATCAATTTAAGGATTAACACGAAATGAATCATCTCCACATGTCATGTGACTCATGTCCCTATCCCCACCCAATTATTTTGTTAAAATGTTGAAAGCAAAATTAAAATTGAATGCCACGGGCAGATGAACCTGTTTGGTTTATTTCCTTTTCATTCTTGCGTTTGTCCATGGATCTATTTCTATGTACAAGTTTGTATGTAATAAAAATATTATTATTTTCTCGTCAAAAAAGTATTTGTTATTAGATAAGAAATTGTTTTAAACATTCTTTTTTTTTTTTCTGTTTCTTTCTGATAACTTTTTATTTACTATCACTGCATGGTGATATTTTTATTTATATTTAAGATAATGTGATATCAATAGTTTAACCTAAATCTATTGATTAAAATTTCTACACTTTTTAAAATCAATTATTTTATTTCTAAACTTATTTTAAAATTTGTTAATTAAATATTTTATTTCTACATATATGTTTTTATTTTTATAAATGTATATATAATAGAATATATTCAATGTAAAATAATAAATTAGTAATTGGCATGTTTATTTCACATGGGTTCGGCTAAAAAAATATAGGCCAAACTGGTATGTGAACTATTATATCAAAAAGAAAAATATTTATAATATACTTTGTTAAATTATTATACTAATTTTTTCAAATATGTAATTAATAATTAGTAAATTTTGTAACTTTAATATGCACTCCATTCTTTTTAAACTAAGTTTTTGTTTATAACATTTGTCACAACTTTTCAACTTTTATTATAATTTATTTTGTAATCCCCCCTCCCATATATATTGATACAGAACGCGCTGAGCCTACGTGGCTGTTTCTGGTGCTTCGAAATCTTATGTGGCAAAATTACATGTTTCGTTATTACGCTTGGGTAAATTTTAATTTAATTCCAAACAAAAAATAATTAGGTTCGGATTACCATAAATATGTTGATCATTTATGGTCATGTTACATGTACAGTTTTACATATGTAGTATATCAAATTAATCTTCTTTTGATGAGCTTCGATTTAACATCCATATTGTATGTATAAAAAATAATTTATATTTATCTTTATAACAATAATAAAATTATTTTTAATATTAAATAGAAAAATAAAATTATTTATCAACTAATATATTTATATTTCAAGTAATTATATGATATAAGTTATAAAAACTAATATAATATAACACATGTAAGTCATAACTAACACATATCATTCTAAAATATATAGTAAAACATTTTTTTTATAAAAAATTAAACTAAATTTAATATAGTTTTTTCATTAATTTTAAAATTTAATAATGATTTTTTAATAAGCACCCGAGTAATACACGGATGTTGTACTAGTTGAAACAATATATTGTAATAAGGTATAAACAGAGAGGAGAGTGAAAAATATTTATCTGAGTATTATTCATCGACAAATTTTGAATATTGTTAATTTTTCACGTTTCTTTATTCTAAAACAAAACTATAAAATAAAAACTATTTTATTAAAGGTGAAATACACACATAAATCATTTAAACTATTATATATCATGAAAATAAAAGAAAAAATAAAAATTATTCAAAACTGTTTGTATACCAGTTAACAATGATCCTTACATACTTTGTTTTTTTTTTTTTT